TACTCCATATCTGTAGATGGTCTAGAACTGTCCACAGTGTATTTACATTTAGAGGAGGATATGCTGTTTGAATATTTTGGGCTGGGAGAAGAGGGGACTTCATGACTGAGTGTCTGAGTAACAGGTTTTTTCAGTGAAGTAGGGACATATTCCATTGAGTTACCTGTGCTCCCCTTGTTGTCTGAATCCAAGGTGTACTTGCTGCAGCTAGGAGTGGGATTATACCCTCCCGATGTCATCTGATAGCTCCCAGGATCATAGGGCAAGTGTGAAGCTGCTGTTTTACTTTTAGCAGCATTGGCTGAAGACAAACTACTACTCTCGGTGTGATCATACAGTTCATCCCCAATCTGAGAGAGCTTCCTCTTCTCCCACTCCACCTCACAGCGGACCTCCTCAATGGCCCTGTTGACCCGCTCCAACACACCACTGATGTCTCCTGGGGTGGCCGTCTGTCCATTTTGCTGCTCCTGAGGCCTCACTACTTCTGGGTTGAAGGGATCATAACCTTGTTCTGTAGAGTTGCAAGACAAACAATAAATGTGACCCAAAAAAAACCTCATCTCAAGGTTAATTTATTACCTTCTTTGGCTCTTGGGATATTCAGTGGCAAGAAAAGGTATGTGAACCTTTTGGAATTTCATGGTTTTCTGCATTAATTTGTCATAAAATGTGATCTGATCATCTAAGTCAAGAGTATTGACAAATATAATGTGCCTACAAAACCAACACAAAACAAATTCTGATCTTTCATGTCTTTATTGAAGACACTCATTCAACATTCAAAATGGTAGTGAAAAAAGCAAGTGAACCCCTGGAATTAATAACTGGTTGACCCCCCTCCCCCCTTGGCAGCAATAACCTCAACCAGGTGCTTCCTGTAGCTGTGGATCAGACCTGCACATCGTTCAGGAGGAATTTTAGCCCATTCTTCCTGGCAGAACTGCTATAGGTCAGTCATATTCTTTGGACGTCTCATGTGTATGGCTCCTCTTCAAGTCATTCCATAACATCTCTATTGGGTTTCGGTCTGGGCTCTGACTTGGCCACTCCAAAAGGTGGATTTTGTTTTTCTGAAACCATTCTGTTGTGGACTTGCTCCGGTGTTTTGGGTCATTGTCCTGTTGCATCACCTGACTTCTACAGAGTTTCAGCTGACGTACAAACATTCTCATGAAGAATTTTTTGATACACTTGGGAATTCATCTTCCCTCAGTGATTACAAGCTGGCCAGGCCCTGATGCAGCAAAGCAGGCCCAAATCATGCCATTTCCTCCACCATACTTTACAGTTGGGATGATGTTTTCATTATATGCAGTGCCCTTTTTACACCAGATGTAGTACTGCGTGTTCTTTCCAAATAGTTCAATCTTAGTTTCATCAGTCCACAAAACATTTTGCCAATACCGCTATGGAGTGTCAATGTGCTCTTTAGCAAACTTCAGGTATGCAGCGATGTTCTTTTTAGTAAGCAGCGGTTTCCTTCATGGTGTCCTGCCATAGACACCCTGCTTGTTCTATGTTTTACGTACTGTAGACTCATGAACACTGATGTTATCCAGTTCCAATGATGCCTTCAAATCTTTGGCTGTCACTCAATGTTGTTTATTTACCTCATTGATGAGTCTTCGTTGTGCTCTTGGGGTCATTTTGACTGGGCGCCCACTTCTTGGTAGAGTAGCCACAGTCCCAAAGTGTCTCCATTTGTAGAAAGTTTGCCTAACTGTAGAATGGTGAATTTTTAAAGTGTTTGAAATCACTTTATAACCCTTTCCAGCTTTATGTAAATCAGCAATTCTTGATTGTAGATCTTCTGAAAGCTCTTTTTGGCGAGGCATGGCTCACATAAGCATATTCTTCTTGTGTGGCGCAAACTCAAGAGGTTTGAGTGGTTTTTATCAGTCAAAGTAGCTCTAGTCCACACCTCCAAACTCATTTTCTTAACAAGACTCTAGGTATGCCAACACCTGACTCCATTTAGCTTTTTTGAGGTCATTAACTCAAAGGTTCATATACTTTTTCCACTAGCACTATGAGGTTTTTATGCTTGTTCTCAATAAGGACATGAAAGATCCCATTTTTTTGTGTTGTTATATTAGGCACATTATATTCCTCCGTACTCTTGACTTAGATGAAGATAAGATCACATTTTATGACACATTAATGCAGAAAACCATGAAATTCCAAAAGGTTTGCATACTTTTTCTCCACTGTAACAAACCAATCAGCCCCAGTTCCAGTATTATATTACTGAGCCACTTTAAAGACACAGAAGTGTTTTCTAAGGAAGTCTACACCTATAAAATTTGGCCACATTTCTGAGGGCTGACAAAATACTCCAGAAGACTGTTTAAAAAAAAAAAAAAAGAGCAAAGATTAGTTTAATATTCTTCAAGGGCAGTATATTGAGCAAACCAAAACAATGACTTACTTGATTACAAGTCTAAATGTTATGTTATCTAAATGTTATGCTGCCTGGGTGCTAAGACAAACTTTGCACACATTGGTTTACTGCTACAAGTACAATAACTATTTTATGCTGTTGACAATGCTATGTTCAGACACCACCCACTATAGCTTTCAATTATAACTTTGTCTGCTCATATTTGAGAGTAGATACTTTGGCCTCAGTAAACTTTAAAGCTACCATTTATGTTGGTATACAGTGGCTGCTGCCTTTGCTCTCATGCTTTAATTTATATACAACAGATCTTCATGATGTTGACTTTGTATTTTACTTTTAATCATTCCATACTTTTCATTTGTTCTGGTTAAGCTTTGATAATCTCCGTGTATAGAATCACACTTTGTAATATCTAACTATACTTCAGTTTACAGCAAACACTTAATAAAACTTATAACGTGCATTAATCGCGGTTACTGGCGCAGTGCACAACCAAGCTAACGGTAACAGAATGATGATTACAGCTACTGTTTTGGTTTCGTTTGCCCTTTCACATTTACAATACTTAGGTCCATACACTATACGAGCAAAGCCTTTAATATTCAAACCAAAGCTGGATATAGTAAAATACTAAGCACCTCTCTGTGCGGAGTGGCGGTCTCGCTTTTTAACATCTGCTGGTAGTCCATAGGACAGCCGTCCCTGCTGGCTGTGCCTGAAGTGACAGTACGGTCTGTTACACCCATTTCTACTACCTTTACTCTCGTTATACTCCGTGTAAAACGGACAGTCAATCCCTCGGAAGAAGCCGGTGGATCTTAGCATTATCTCCGGTTCTTCCTCTCATGCCCAAATAGACCAACTTGGCTGCTTTTCTATGTATTTCCCATCGTACTACAAAAGCTTGTATGAGCAAGGAAACAATAACAACGTCCCTACGTCGCCATGTTGGATTGACAGAGGCGGGGGGCTAAAATATCGCGTGAAGTTCCACCTTCGCGCCCCCGACGTCACTTAGGTGAGTCGACTATTAGCTCCCCGGTTTAAACAAAAAACAAATAAAAAAAACCTCACTTAACTCAGTAAACGTCTGGAACTGCCAAACGCTTGGCTAATTGAAACTTTTCGGTTTTAGCGTTATTTACAAGACTGCTCTTAACGTGTAGTGAGTATCTAGTGATTAAAGTGTTGGTGAACAATGAAGTTTCTTTTTTTTTTTTTTTTACATTTCTCTTCCCCTAGGTGTGTGTGTAATTCCCTCATGCAGCTAGCAAGCCATTAATTATAGTTAGGAACACCTGGTTGTGCCCCTCATAGTGTAGTTTATTCATGGCGTTTATGTTTAAAATAAAAACACACGGACACGTATTGCAGGATTTTATTTCACACGAAACCGGAAATGAGTCGTCTCCTTGGGTCAACTATTCTACTAGAAAGAGCAGCAAAGACAACCAAAATAAACATGCAGTTTGCTGACAACTTAAAGAGTATTGGCAACATGGTAGCCTATCTCTTCCTGTCAAGAATAGTTCAATATCTAGGTGGGATTGATATTCTGCTAAACGTTAAGTCTTCCCAATAACTATGGAGCTGAAGTCCACTTGAAAGTGAAAACCACCATTTCCCAAAAGGTCGAACTCGTTTAATATTAAACAGGCCACGTACTCACGTCTTCCTGAGCACTTGCTAAAATGCTGTTACATTTCCCCATCTGGAAATGAAATTTTTTTTTTTACCTGTAACTGAAATAAGCAAATATCTTTATATAGTTACCCAAGGCCATATTTAATTTACCGTTTCTCTAAAGCAGAAAAAAAAAATCACATATGTTGGAAGGCTAACCCCCAATACATCTGTTCTCTCTGCATTCCTAATTCTGAGTGACCTACTTTTTTTTTCTTACAATAAAAAAAAAAAAAAACTTAGTCTGAGTTTTAAGCAAAACCACAGACCGCCTTAACGATACTAAAATACGACTTTAAACTCTCCAGATGATTCCTGACATGCTCTATTATACCTACCGTCAGCTTGACTTTCAAACCTCTGCACAAGGTGGTCAGGCTTTTTGAGCAGCACCCCCCCGAGACACACCTACTCCAAGAAGATCCAATCACAATTCACAATGATTCTCAGGTGTGTTTCACAGATAATCACAGACACCGTAATTGGTAGTCTTTCAGCAGGTAAACTTATATTTTCATAAGTTAACTCCACATGCTCCTTTGGGTTCCAGAGGTATTATTTTCACACAGTGTGTCACTCATTTGAATATGTTCAAAGTTCAAAGTGTTTATTTCGTCTTATGCACAGTTAGGGAACGTGTTTCCCTGTACAATGAAATTCTTACTTTGCAGTCCACATTTGTCTGGGTAACTTGCTTTTGAATTTACTTTTACACAAAGATTAAGTGGTGATGGGTATATAAATATTCACATTTGTCTTTACTCATCATTGTGGTTAAAAACAAGAAATCTCTCACATGGCTGGACCCAGCTTTTTGATTGCTTATTCCTTTGTTTTAATATGTATGTACCTTAACCTTTTATTTTTACTGAGAGTGGGGCAGCTGATAAACTGAAATGGTGAAAACCCTCCACCAGAGGGACACACATGCCCACGAACTTAATCAGCATTCAGACGTGTTCTACTGCAGGGTTGTACAGAAACCACTCTGCTGTTGCATCATTTAATTTCCTGCAGCCCTATGATGTTTTCAGTGCTGAGATACAAGTTATGCAAGACAGGTTTTGTGTGTTTTAAGCTTTGTAATCACTGTCAATAGGAACAGATCTAATTTAACTGGTGCCACATGCTAAATGTTTGCCGTTTCTACACAGTGTAAGAATTACATTGGACATTTTTAATAGAAAACATGAGTTTACTCTTTGTCAGATAAAGTATTGATAATTACTAGTTGTAACCCAGGATGTAACCCGGGTCTCTTAAGTCATTATCATGCTTTTGCTTCCTTTTGTTGCTCATTTGCTTAAGGGTTAACACTGGACCATCTTATATTCATGTACTGAGGTAATACAGTAATATTACTACCAGTACTATTTTCAGTATACACAGCTGATTTTACCACCGGCTGACAAATCCAAACTTGCAGCAGTGTTGAAAAGATACGCCGTCATCTGCTTAATTCAGCACAGGTCATTTTGAGTCTCCAGAGGGTTGAAGAGTTGGTAGCAGGAGCTGCAGCTCTTGCAGCAGGTTGCATCAGTCTTTTCAGAGTACTACCACTCTCACAACTAATGCAAGATGAAAGTACCATCAAATGTCTGTTAAGAGACAAGTGAGCTCATATTTATCAGCCAAGGACATATGACAGTCTGATATCAGGAACAGTTTGTGATAAAAGGGCTTTACAGGAACGGTTAGTGATAAAAGGGCTTTACAGCAGTCAGATGGACAGCCTCAGCCTTGGCCCAGAGATAAGACTGCTCATTAATGTAAAACTAGTGATAGTGGAAAGAGCATGTATCTGAGCAAGTTTTACTTCAGACCTTGTGGTTTGAACCAAAACATCAAGAATAACCAGATGCGTGTAGTTCCAAGCATTTTATTGCATTTTTTTTTAGAAAAACATACAAAAATCTGTAGCAACTGCCATAAATGTTACCTTGAGTGAACTGCAATCATTCACATGGTACAATAAAGTGCTTATTTGAATTATTTTTATACTTAGTTATTTCAAATTTCTTCCCCTGAACACAAAGGGGTTGGGGGGCAATTCACACAACGTTAACTTGGTTAATCTTAAAAATGTTTTTGGACTGTATCAGCATAGTACCCCACACAATGTCTGTGAAACACATTTGATGAATATCACTGGATCGTAAATGCTTTTTTTGTCTCAGCACTATATTCCGAGGTTGATGTCTGTCTATTTGGATGACTAAATGAATTAACACTTTCTTCCTTCAAAATGACAATATAAAACTGAGCCTTAAGGATCTTTTGTCCCCTGTCCCCCATTAAAAGGCAGTCCAAAAGCTACTGCCAGTGGAAAAAAAAAAAGGTAGAAATTATCATGACCAAGAAAACTCTAATACAGTTCAAGATATTACAGAGTATGGCCAAAGTCTGTGCGTTTGAGTATCCAACCCTATCAAAAAGTACGGACCAACTTGTCTGAAGCTCAACAGGGTGAAAAAGGCAGAATACTGAACTGTGTAGGCATTTTCAAAACCCCAAAATTGCCTTGATCATACACTTAATGCATTGAGATTTCTGGTAGCAAAGTAGTTTCCCACCTGGAGAAGAAACAGCTGCATACACAAATTCAAGTAAGTCTTATTATAAGACATAAAACCCCATGAGGATGCATCTGTAGAAAGGTATTTTTATAACTATTACAGTGTCCTGTTAACAGCATAATGGGTCATCTGACACCATTTCCAGAGTACCGTCGCTGCAGTGCTGGCAGCAGGACATGAACAATCAGGAGTTCCCCACTCGTCACTGCCAGGTGATAGATCAGATGTTCAATGTCATGACTTGAACCCTCTTTGGTGAAATGGCTGCAGTGTTGTGAGACCACCTCAGACCAGTTACCTGTCAGTTTCAAAATGAGGTTTAACTTAATCTGAACAATAGCAACAGAAAAGATTGCCAACTCATACACATAAAAACAAAACAAAAAAAACTGCTTCACTGGGCATCAACGCTCCAGATCAACAAAAACTCTTCCATCTTCTCCGCTCATACATCACACACTCTGGACTTTAAAAAACACAAAATGCAAAATATAAAGAAAACATCCGGTGTTTCACCTGAACTCAACAGCACCTGCATGAAAATTACTATATAGAAAATAAAAGCTTAACAGCTATACAAAAAAGGAAAAATATCAGTGTGGCACATTGACATGGAGTTTTCAAACAAAGAATAAAGTAAACTTAATACAGCTACATGTCTGTGGAAGACTGTTTCTTTTTGTGGAATGTTTTTCCCTTTTTTAAGATTTTTTTTTTTAAAGTTTTGCCTCTTTTTTTAAATGAGAATTTCTAATATTTTAATGGGGTATGTTTAATCAAAAGCAAGTATTGTGAACCCTTGAAAGAAAGATGGTCCAAATAAACATATGATTAAACAAATGACTCAGGTCACATTATCCAAAATGTGCTTTTCAAACCCCTCATAGGAGTTATAACCTTTACTGTCAAAATATTTAAGGTTAACTCTAATGCATAAATTGACTTGTAAAAAAAATTCTTACAAAAAAAATACAACTTTTGGTTGTGGCAAGGGGGCATGTCATGAATGCTTTACAATAAAGTAACGTTTCACTTGCCAATGCCAAGCCATTTAACATACTGTGTAATCAGCCTGTACCAACATACCAAATAGACTTCAGAGTGAGCTCAGTCTCATTTCGTGGTGGCCATGCATCATGACCCATTAAAATAGTTAGTCAAAAATATTAGACTTCCCTTAAGGTCTCAAACACTGAACTGTGTGACCACTGTTAAGTTGGCTTCTATTTATTTAACAAATGATATGAAATGGTGCAATACTATGTCAGGGCTGGTTGGGTACAAGCAAACATTCCTTTCTTTTTGGAGCATTAAGTGCAGAATCACCAAAGCTGGATGAGTGCATACGTCAGCTCAGACTTCTACAGAAGAGGCTCAGTTGTGAGGAATTTATCTAAAAATGGAGGAAATTAAATCTCTGAAAGAGGCCCAAGCCACATAATGGACTGCACCAGGCATAGACAGCATTGGCTTAAAGCCCCTCCAACTCCTTATATTGAATCCTTTCTGAGGAACAGCCTTCATCTTGGCATATTGCATAAGCTTGTACATATCTGCAGATGGGCCACTCAAGCACATACATACAGGCAGAGAGAACATTGTAGATAATTCACAGTGCATCCAGTTGTAACGTGGGAGCAGCACAACAGGTTGTCCTTTGGTGTCTGAGCTTAGTTTCAAAGATAAGTCTTCTGATTTCTTCTGAACTGAGTCGTATGAGGAAAAAAAGAAAAAAAAAAACTTGGAAAATACTTCTCTCTCCCAAATCATTAACTTGCCCTCCTCCCCAACCAGGACGTGCACATATTTATGTTTGCTATATGCAGGCCCTGAGGTGATGTGCTTCGGAAGTGCTGCAGAAGGGCAGAAGGCATTTAGAGGAAGGGCTGCAAATAGCATCTCCCTTAATTGCGAGGCATTAAATCCTGATCGGCAGAGGAATCGAGGCCAGCTAGAGTCAGGGAGGGGCCAGAACTGGGGAGGTAGAGTCTCAGAGCAGTCTTAGATCTGGTCTTGAATTTTAACGGAAGGCCAGTTCAGGATTGACAAGATTCAGGCACAGTCTCCCACGATAACCAGAGGGGCCAAGAGCTTACGGAGCTCTGCAGCAGAGACAGGCCCTCCCTTAGGCTGGCTACTCCGCTGCCTGCGCCTTGCCAGCTTGGAATTGGAAGGAGGAGAGAGGCGCATGGAAGAGCCAGTAGTGGTAACAACAAATGGGGCTTCCTGCTGCTGCTGTTCTTCCATGCCATCTTGTTCAGCCAGCTGCCTGTTCACAGCCATGGCCTTGTCAGCAAAGAATGTCAGATCCCTGGCATTGCTGGTTCTAATGGACAAGAGCAGACACAAAAATGGTCAAAACTGTGAATCAAACATAGATGTGTGCATGTGTAGACAAAAAAATACTTTATATCAATGTCCAAAGGAGTAGAGTCTTTAGCTAGCTCTTAACGTCCTCTCACCGTTGATGCAAGATGGATGTTGGTAAAGTGTCAAATGCACCCTGAACAAAAAGGAAAAATGTATATTCATTAGAAGAAGAAAAAAAACTCAACCTCATAACATACTGTATGTAAACAATATGCAGACATTTCAGTAATTTCAGACCTACCCCCTGCACCCAGGGGTGCTGCAGCACCTGGCTGGCACTCAGGCGGCTTTTAGCGTCCCGAACCAGAAGTTTGGATATAAGGTCTTTGGCACTTGAGGAGATGTGAGCCCAGTCTTTCTCTGGAAACTCGTATTTTCCTTCCTGAATACTCTCAAATAAAGTGTTCTGGAAATTGACATAAAAAAAGTTATCCTAGAAAAGACTGTTTGGCTTTGTTTAAGTTTCACAAAAGAAAGAAAATGTGGGAAGGGTGAAATGACAAATGTGTCAAACTCTTACCTGGCAGGTGTGGCAGGGGTCCCCCAATTCCCCGCCCCAGTCACCGCCACAGCGGCCTACAAAGGGAGGGTAGCCACTCAGCATGATGTAGAGGATAACCCCGAGACTCCACAGATCACAGCGCTTGTCATAAATTGTAGCCTCCTCACTGAAGGCCTCAACCACCTCAGGTGCCATGTACTCTGCTGAGCCACACTGTGAAAAGATAATGGAACAAAGATGCTTGTTAGCATCAGGGTTGCCAAAAAACTACCAAGTATAGAAGGAAAAGGAGAAAGACAAGCCTTTCTCTGTTTTAAGTCCTCTATTTTTATCCCTAATTATCTCATTTCAAAGAACATTCCTTTGTTGTCTGCATTGTTACTGTCTGTTCATACTGCTTATTCTGCATCGTTTGCACTTTGTTGCTTGTAAATACTGCTTATTTTTGTTATATTACACAGCCTTATGCTGGTTTACCATTTGCACATTGAGAGCCGATGTACCCGAGTCAAATTCCTCGTGTGTCCAACACACCTGGCCAATAAAGCTGATTCTGATTCTTGTCTGCTGCACATTCCTTAATCAGCTGATACCGTGTGGTTGCAAGGTGTTAAACCTTGGGGCGGGTGCATCCTATGTGACATCACATGCTTGTCTGTAGTGCTGTATTCATAAAAAAATGCATAACTATAGCTTTTCATTACCTACTACTAAATATCAAGAATAGAGGAGGGGAGGACTGGGCTGGACTGAGGCATGTTTGTCTGGTATGCAGCAGCAGCGAGTCACTGCTTTGACCAACCAGCTACACACCTGTCAGGCTGAATGGGCTGAGGGCAAGGACAGACTCAGCAATGCCGGTGTATTGTTGCCTCATCTAGAGACTGGGCTGAGCCTTCACTGGTAACATAGATTGGAAACACTAAATGCTGCTTTAATACTTTAGGAAGAGAAAAGATGAGCAGATTGATAGTTCAGCATTTTTTCATTGTTGCCTCTATATTAACATAGAATTTTTGTACTCAATATAAGTATTTCATGTCACGAGTTTAGATTCTTTGAGATTTGAGGATTTCCTAAAAAGAGACGGCTTCTGTCAACCTGTTCTAGGAACACTGGTTAATACATCATTGCCCAGATCAGGTATTTTCATGACTGTATCACACAGCCATGCATGTTACAATTTTTAAGCATTTGTCCCTGTATCCTGGCCATCCTCTTGGCCTATATCCTTCCTTCCTTCCATCTGTGGAGCTGCATTTTTACACTGAGCTGGCATCCATTGTGTCCCAGTACCATATCCCAGCTGTCTCAACTCCTCCTCCAGCCTGCTGCACTCTTATGTAATGAAATTTGATCCACAGGAATCTTGTCTTAGACAAAGCTGCATCTGTCAAAGAGAACCGTCCCCAACCCCCCTGCTTCCAACAATAACATCAACATGTCTGAGACGACTGCCTCCACAGACATGACCCCAGGATTCAGGCCAAAGGCAGCTCACACAAAGTCAGGCACAAAAGGATATTTTTGCCTACCAAGATGACCTTAAATGTAATGTGGTAGCTTTCCTATCAAAACCAGCAATCGAAGCTAATCTTGTTTCAAAGCCACCCAAGTACGCTGCAAATCAAGGACAAGTCAGGATAACACCACCCCGTCTAGGACCGCCTGCAACTCCACTGATAAAAGCTGAAAGGGGAGACCAGGAATAACAGCAATCATGGGTCTGTGGCACAGCCTCAAAATCTAACCTCATATTTGTTCTTCCTTTGCTGCTGTTGTAAACACCTTGCACACTCTGCAGTCACACCTTCCTCAAGCCTTCCTGTAAGCTGAAAATCAGCTGTTACCAGAGAATTTGTTGGTTCTGCAACCTGGGGCTTTCCTGGAACCTTGTGACTAGTCAGACCATATTGACAGCACTGATGAGGCACACCTCTGCTTCAGGATTATCTGAAGTGGCTTACAGGAAGAAGACCTGTTCTGTGGTTAAGCATCTGCAGATGTATTAAATGCTGAACAGAGAGGCACACAGTCACATGTTCAGAGTTCTTGATAAACTATTAACTCGTTCCCTGAAAGGTCCTGCACCTCTTTCCTGTGTTCTTGACATTTATACTAAAGCACAGGCACATCCACAGTAAATATACTGTACATTATAACAGTACTTGGATAAATCTGATTAAACATTTGATGGGATCAGGATTTTAAGCAACATATGGAGAAATGTACAGGAATGTTAGCAAAGGGGAGAGCGCCAACAGTGACATAAAAATCAGATAACACTGTTCCTGTGATCAAGGCAAAGAAAACAAACCAGAGCACATGAGCTGTTTTTAATCCCTCCCAGTTCCCCTCCCCCTCTCACTGGTCTAGCCAATCACATCTCAGTTGCTAGGTTTGGAGGGGGCAGCAAGACGACAAAAATTTCCAGAACAAGCCTTATGCACAGCCTTTGTGTAAAGAACATAAAGCACAGACAGCACAAGGTTGTTGGGGCCATTGGGTGGAGATTAGAAAAAGAGGGTGGATGTTTTACTCCCTCACAGCACAAAGAGAAAAGAGAAATGAGCAAGAGTTTGCATATTTTGTTTATTTTACTTCTTTAACCTGTATGACATGACCTAAAAATCACTGTGTTCCTTGCAGCCTTATTACATTCCAAGGCTATTACATTGTGTCCTGTCCTTGGGCATCAACTTTCCTGCCTCCGAAAATACAAATACTCTCCATATAACAGGACATTTAAAAAAATGTAGGCAAATTATTTGGTATGCCCCACTGCATAAAACAGAATTATCCAGATATCGAAGTTCATGTAAACCAAGCAAGTGAGCAGGTCCTTGACTCCACAACTGTCCATCTCCCCTTTAGTTCTGGCTACACTGAGATCAAGTTACAAGTGTGGAAAAACCCCCACCCAGCCTGCCATATTCCTACAGGCTTAACCACTGTCCTTCACCTGCTCCAAGAGGCAGTTTCAGATGACAAGTTAAAAAAAAAAACAAAACACTATAACAGACAGCCTTAACTTTTTAC